AACGGCAGCGGCTCGTATTCGGTTATCGATTTCGGCGGGAGTGGCGTCGGGCTCAACGGGTAGGTCCCAAAATCCATTGGGCCCGTGGAGGGCGTCCTCCTCGGCACGTCGGATGCGTGCATCGTGCGCTCGGCCTCGGTCCATTCTGGCCTGGACCTCTGGGGACTCCCTGGCAGCTCGAGTGAGTCGGAGGGACTCGACGTACGTGTGATAGAGGAGCGGCCAAGGACGCTGGGTCGGAGGGACGGGGTCGGCGAAGGCTCGCGACGAGACGGACGGTTCCCAGTTGGAGACTCCGGCGAGGCGCTCGGCGGCGGTAACTGTCCCAAGTTCCTCGGGGTCGAGGTCTGGGAACTCGCTCCAAAGCTCCCCACTCGTCGGCTCGATCGAGGGGGACGGGGGAAGGGAGCGCTGGTGTCTCGGGCCCTGCAGAGATCTGGTGGGGCTCTCCTCTGGTCTCGACTCCGGCCACAGCAGTCTCTTCCCCGTTGTCGGCGTAGACCCAGCTGGTGCTGGGGTGCCAGCCGACTGGGGGGCCTCTATTGGTTGGCCAGGCCCTTGGAAGAGACTGTGGGTTAGTTGTACTGGTGGAAGCCGCGGAGGCTCCGAGGCCAAGCTCTCCGGAATTGGCGTCGTAGTCATCCTTTTGCCTCTGTATAAATCTGCGGCGCTCTGCTCCGAGGTCGGAATCTCCCCACTGGGCTTCGACCCAGTTTGTGGACGTCCTTCCGGACCAGTTGTCTCCGGTATTGGTTGCATCCTCCTCCGTATTCGGGTAGAGGTCGTCGAGGATGGCGTCGAGATGGGTTCTTTCCCACTCGGTGAGCTCGTCCCCTTCGAACTCGGTATCAGAGCCTTCTTCGCTCGCGACCAGATGCCTGGTGCCTTGTCCTCGGCCTCCGTCGGGGCTTGACTCGCCTTCGACTGGAGACTGGTCGAAGAGACCTGGTAGGGGCGAGTCTCCTCTGTCGAGGAGTACGCCCCTGGTATCGGTGATGTCGACGGAGTCGGTTGACTCGTCGGTAGCGCTTCTGTAGGAGTCGGTGTTCGACTCTGAGGATCGCGAGCTGGGTCGCGACGATCCGTAGAGGGACTCTCCATATAGAGAGTGTAGCTCTAGCCGAGGGGTTTCTGGAGTGCGTAGGGTTTGTTGCGAGGCCGCGGGGATATCTATCACCTGCGGGGGATATGCGGGTGCGCTGGGCACGTAGTGGAAGGGGAGCTGAGGTCGGACCCTTCTCTGTTGCCGGCAGCAGCGGAGTGTGTGGTATAAAGAAATGGACAAGAAAAAGGCGATGAAAGTTACGAAGATTGCAGGAATGGCGTCGGACCAGGGCATCCGTATAGAGATCTATCCTTGGCGTAGGTCGACGATTGACCATGCAAGCTGGTATACCGCAAGAATGGTGAGAACAATGAGAAGAGCGATGATCAGGCTAAGGTCGGTCTCGTAGTTAGAGCCGTTCATTAACGAGATTTCGCAGTCCTCGTCAGGGGGAGTGCTCGTCACTATTAACAGTAAGACTGTTAAAATAGAGGCGAGTTGAAGGGCGAGTATGAAAGGTTTCGTGTTGGGATACGTGGTTCCTAAACGAGACGGGGATATAACGTGTACAGGGCGACTAGCAAGCTTGCTAGCAACACTGCCGGTATTCCGAGCGCGATTAGGAGAAAGGTTAGGTATACAGTCAAAAAGACTGCGAGGAGTAGGTCATCGTAGAGGATAAATTCAACAATCAACCGGGTTACTAACAGTAGGAAGATTAGCGGAGTGGGTATTAGCCACAAGGCTAGTGCGACGATGTAGTGTATCGGATGAATGATGACGGTGAGTGCTTTTCCGTTGGTCCACTCGCTGTACGTTGACAAGCACCGGGTTGTCCACACGAACGTAGGCGATGACCTCTCTGGTCAAGCGGGGTAATTTCTCGTAAAGGAGTTGGGCAGCGCTCTTTCTCGGAAGTGACGCTGAGCAACGTAGAGCGAGCTTCGGCTAAATGTTAGCCACTAACTCAATCGACTTAGATCGTACTAGGATCCCTACTCGCACTTCGGTAGGAGACGCTCTAGCAAGTCAAAGACGATGCAAGTCGATGGGACAGATAGTCACGAAGGACGGAGTTCGATGTTAGGTAAAATAAACCTTAGCCGAAGCTGGGGTTTAATCCAGCTGAGGCTCTACTTAAATACTCGTTGAGTAAACTAAAAATAGAACGTCCGATCAGAACCGCAGTTCCGCAGTAACATAGTAAGCATGAATGCGTAAGAAAAGGAAAAGAAAAGAATAAACCGTAACATCCTTGCCCTTCATGTTCGAACATGATAGCTACATGGTAGAGAAATTCATCTTCGTTAAGGGTGAGTAGTGGATTGCATGGCTTGATGATGTCCTGGGGAACTCCATTAATCATGGCAGTATGAATGCAGACTCTGTCAAAACCTTGCAAGTAGGCAGCATATCGGCTGTCAATATAGCGGAAAGCTTTATTGTGGTAATAAAAAAAATGCCTGGTGTCATCTTGATATTTCAGGCAATCCACTGCTCCATGCCAATTTTTCATGAGGAATTGTTTCGCAATAAGTCCCAGGAATCCTGCCTCATAGATTTGAGTATGATTGGTTATGATTTCTGGTTGGGTGCAATTTCCATATCCACATCACCAATCATCTACCTTCACTTTTAAATCTCACATCAACTCATAGATTTTTATGCTGATTTTTGTGATTTTGTATTCTTCAGACCCTTCAATCAACGAGTACTTTTCGTGTGTGGAAGGGAGGAGGCCATTAAGTTCGGTGAGTAAAGGCGAATTATCTTATGAACTGAGATAATGATGGAATAGTTTGTAACAGAATGAGTGGTCATCTTGGTTAATAGGGATAGGATAGAGCAGATCATTCTCCAATGGCATAAACTCATAGGGTTGGCACCAGTAGTCATCATGATGCTGCAGAATATAGATGAGGGTGGAATTCTTTCTGTGGTTGTCCAGTTCTATGGTGTGACAAGCATAATATTTGGGAGTGTATATCAAGTCAGAGAGATGATTGTGAGTTTTTCTCGCTGATGTGCACAGGTTCCTCTCTAAAATAGGTAGCACGTAGGTTGGCCCATTTGATTTTGTTCAGGCTCATGGGGGTATAGGCTTCTGAGCTGCTAGTGCTATAGCCACATAGAGGATGAGTGGATGCATTGCTAAAAGCTCCTTCAATATTGCTCATGTCTGATGGGGAGGATACATAGGGGGCCTCCAGGCAGACTTGTGAATAGTGGAAGGCTTGGGAAACAGGAGGGGTCTTGAGGGAATATAAACTCTCGTCAGAAGCCAACCGCATGTCGAGCTGTAAAATGGGTCAAGACACGGAGGCTTTAACCTTGTTTACCAGATTTTCATATTGGATATCTCATTCTTCTTCTTCCTCTGATTCCTCACAGATCTCAGCTTTACATTTAGCTGCTATTTCTTGTTGTTCGCAACTCCATTCCAGGATCTTGATCACCATAGTATTACTTTCTTCATCCACAGTTGAAAGGAGCAAACAGCATTCCAGCACAAATGTGGCTTTGAGTTGGGTAAAATAGGTGCATCTGGTGAAAAGGAGTGATTGTAATCAGCCAGAATGCAGTAATTTAATGAATGGGCACATGGCAGATTACAAGGTATAGGAGTGGGTGGCCGATAAAATGAAGGGCATGGTTTTTCTTCAGTTCATTTAACACAGTCTAGGTCTGGTGTGAGAGCCATGTTGGCTTGATTAGGGGAGATCCACCTACCCATCGGCCTGGCTGATTGTGGAGACTGAGTTTCGTTTCCCTTTATGGCTTCATCCTTTCCTGTCATCGTAGGATACATTATAAGCTTTTGTTGTGACCAAAACATTTCCTCCTCCTCATCATCCAGATTACTGAAATCAATGGGTGACTTCTCATAAGGATTTACAGACATTTTTCATCTGTAAATTACTCCTAAACACATCAAGCTGAAATGCTGAGCCTAATTTCATCATCTGTGCCTAGTCAACCAGCTCTGTAAATTCATGCATCAACAGAGGCCTTCTGACCCGTCTGTAGATGGATTTTGTGCTGTAGATGTCAAGAATTTGATTTTCATGTGTTCTAGAAGTATTCCCTTCTACCTAATGCGAATGCCTCCATCTCAGCTTTCTCCATCCCTTCTAAACAATTCCTCCCAAAAATTTGTGCAAAGAGAAAAATTGCCTCATGCAAGAATCTAATAGCCCTAAAAACAATCCTTGATACCCTCAGGGACCCCATGAAGATGCCAGCCATCTTCCACCCCACAGTCCTTCATTTCCATACAATTTTGACTTTGCCTCAGCAGGATCTTCTGGCACAAATTTCAGTGACCCTCAAAAACCACCAGAGCATGAGCTACCTCATATTGGGATACCCAAGGGTGGCTATCATGGCTTCCTGACGCCTCATTCCAGATATGATGCCAATCAGCCCTACTCACACTACATAAGACATCTCTTGATAGTATCATCAGTTGCTGATATTCTCACAGGGACATCAATACCCTGGTAGTCCTGGTTTACAGTTCAAAAATCATGGTCACCACCAAAATGGCTTCTCTACCAATTCCCTGAGTGGCATTCCCTTGCCTCCTCGAAGATGTGAGAATCCAGGTCCTCCTGGACCATCTTCATCCTACACACCTACTCCTTCCTTCCAAAACCACCCAAAATTTCGTCCAGATCCTCACCTTCCTGCTGAATTTGGAGTCATACCCAGAGATAATTCCACTTTCTATCAGCATCTGCATTCTCCCACACTACCTGCACAATCAGACGATGATCTTCCTAATCCTGCCACTTTATCTGCAATTAAAGGAAAGCACCATCAAACTAGCTGAGCCCAGTCTGAATCTACAGCTGCTAAGAAGGCAAAGCATGACTCTGACAAATCCAAGGACACTCCAAAGCCAAGCACTCGAGTTGCAGTCAAGCCCAAAGCTGCTACAATCAAAACAGAGCCAATGAGCAGGACTAAAAAAGGTCGGGCTCCTGGTGCCAAGAGGTATTCTGAAGATGAGTCCATGGCAATGCTCCAGCTTGTGTTAGATGCTGTGCCACTAGGTCATGATGCATGGGAGGCTGTTTGGAATGATTATAAAAAAATTGCTGAAAAACAAGGGTGGTCAGTCTGAGATACCAAATTGCTAAGAGCAAAATATGATGCTGTAAGTCAGGTCATTCTAGACATATTTCATGATCTGATTCACTATTAAGCTCCTGAAATTGGCACACAACAAACCTACTGGTGATGCACAGTGGCCCACAGTACTCGAACTTGCACTCAAAGTTCATGATGCTATCACAGTACGAGCAGCAACTCTGGGCATTAATGATCCTGTCTTTTAAGAGGAAGCACAAGCTAGAAGTCCCAAGATCATTGAAATTGATGGCTCCGATGAGGATATCACAGCTCCACAAGTTCCCATTGGATTGCTCAAAGGTAGCAAGGTGTCAAAAAGCGGTACAGTGTTGACAAAAGCCTATTGTGTCGAGAATCCCTTGGCAGGAGCAAAATCGTGTGCAGCAGGAGGTCAGCATCCCAGCACATCTGAAGCATTGGGTGCTATCACATCCTTCTTTGATCCAGCCATGATAAAAACCTGTGATGATGAGAGAGTGTCTCAGGCTCTTCAGCTTTCTCAGATAGCAGCCCTCTAAGCTGAGTTCCGGGAACTCTGACAGCATCTTGATATCATGTCTGACAAGTACCATGATGAGTTCCATTGAGCAGACAAGGCTGAGAATGAGCTGAGAATGTACCAGATCCTGAATGGGAGTGAAAAAGGTGACAAACGGCATAGTCGACGTGACCAGAGTTATCATCACAGATCCTCAGAGAGAAGTGATGCAAACTCTGACAGTGATGGCTCAGCCACATTGGGACTGAGTGCTGCCAGCATTCTGCATTGTCACCACTTACACCACAGCCATCGACACCACATCAAATGTAGTGCTAGAGAGGACAATTCATATCCAGACCAGCGCCGCAACCATTCAGTCCACCATGCTCATCACTGTTCTTCTTCTCCATCTTCCAATCACAATTCAAACCACTTCAAGGCAGCACAATGGCATAATGTCCCAACTGAACCCACAGCCTTAGAGACCTTGGCATTCACAGCAGCAGCAGCCCCTGCTGAAGGCTCTAGCACTATTGGCCATTCTCTCATGCTCAGTCTTACACCACGTAAGACTAGTGATGGATGCCTGGAGGTTGATATCTCACCGTCAAGGCAGAGCACTTAAAAAGTAAGACTGTATTCTTTCCCATAATATTAATTTCCCTCATACTTGAATATTTATTATTTGATGTTCATCTATCTTTCATTTGTATCTAGGTAAGTACTTTTAGAGTAGACCATTTAATTGTAAATATTTATTACAGAGTAGCAATAATAGTATGCTATTTCTGTTGTAATCAGTCCATCTAAACTTCATCATTAATGACAACAACATGAAATCTAGAAACCCGATCACGTTGATGAATCTCTCCAAACATCACCTCACCAAGGTTTGTCCACAGCTCCTCATCCTCCAACTCTTTCCAGGTCTTGAAGTATACCTTCCAAATTTCATTAAGACCAACACAGTTGGTGCGTACATTAGCCAGTCATATACATAACTCCAGGAGCTGTTGGCAAGCACTTGCATCATTAATTGGCAGTGGTACACATAGATGGCCAAATGATCCCTGCATAATTCACATTCCCCATTCAGCTGTCTGTCAATAGGACAGCAGCTGCTGGTCGAAACGGAGATACTCTTGCTGAGCATGCAGTTCTGCAGGGATTCCTTCACCACCCTTCATCAGTGCATGAATTTTGCCAGCAATCAATGCTGTTCCTCATGGAAATGCTGTGTCAGCCACTAGAAAATAGCCATTGAGCACTTGCATTTGTAGGCATTCAAAAATCAGGCAGGCCACATGAGCATCATGCCAACTCCCCAGGGCATTAAGAGCCACATCTATTATAACACCTGCATGCATAGATCAAAGATCAGTGTGTGCATTGGTGACCAAGATACGCAGATGTACCTCAAGGGGAAAATACCAATATATTGTTGATGCAATGTGAACTCTTCCACCCATTGTAGGTCGCATTTTCAATTTAAGGATCCTCAGCCTCCTGCACTGGAAGTGACAACCCATCAATGCTCCCAAACACGCCCTCAAGTAAAGGATGTTGCATGCAAATTAACTCTGATTCTGCCATGTAGTCCTCTGCAGTTCATGGTAGATGGATGGCTGCTTCCTTCATCTTTCGCAGTCTGGCCAAAAGTATGGTTTTTGAGAATGCAAGGTATCACGAGACAGTGGAAAGGATGAGAGTGAAGATCTGCTGAAAAGACACTTCAAGCATAGCTGATTCAAGATAATGCAGAGTCAGGCCAAGGGCACCAGCTGCATCCAGTGAGCATGCACCTAAACAAGGCTGTCCCATAGTCGAAATGTCGAGATGAGGGATTGGCATACAACTCCAGGAACCTCCAAAGCCATCTGGTCCTTCTAAAATCAAGCAGAATGTAGCCATGTCAATGCCCATGGTGGTGATGAAAGCACAATCATCCTGGCTCTCCTAAAGCCTTTGCCAAGACATATTTGCTCTGGGATCTGGCAGTAGCTGGGCCTGACAGAGATATAGCCTGGATGGGTTCCTCCTTTGAATTCTCCACTCCTTGGCTTGAATTATACCCACTAGAAGGATAGCTAGGGCAGCAGACTGGGCTAGCAAAAGGTCTTCATCTGCTTGGTCTTGAGCTTGGCTCAAAAAATAAAGGAACTCGACATTATTCATGAAAGAAAGTCAGATTTCGTAGGAGTAACGTGGCATGGCAAGAATGACCCAATTCAGACTCAGATGATGGCAGGTGGATTTATGGCTAAATGCGTTGATTTGGTCCTTACAGTTTACAGATTGGTCTGTAAATTATATTACAAAGTTCATGCCATTGTTGTTTTAGCTCCCATCCATCTGTAAATCCTTATGGAAAGTCACCCAATGAGTGGAGGAGGAGAATCAGAAAAAGGTGAGGTGTCAATGAATTCTTCATCCTTGATGTCTTCTAACATAAACAAAGATGCAGGAAAGTGAGGCATGTCATACATCAAGGCCTGACTGAATTTGGCTGGAAAGGCTTTACATGGAAAGATGGTGTCATGGATAGCCTGGAGAAATATGGGATGGTGCAGTAGCAATGTGCAACCTTTTTCATTGGTAACACAATATAGGGTTCTGGCAGTATAATTGTACTGCATGGTCATAGGTCTTGTAAGGTCTCTAATTATTTGGCTGAGATGTCCTTTGTTGATTTGCATAGTGAGATTATAGTCCTCTGGAATCAGAAAGGCATGCTGGGCTTTGTTGCATTTTGTTTCAATGAGCTTAGCCATTATAGCCACGAACATCGGAGGTAGAAGGAAATATATTAGGCTGTTTTCGGGTCGAGCTTGAAATCCTGTAGGAGGAACAGGTCAATCAGACCCAGAGGTAATCCTGCATATGAGGGTACAGGCAATCTGACCTTGGGAATCCTCTTTCTCCATTAGTTCTACATCCTTGATTATGCTATATGCTAGCATGGGCTGAATGCTTCTGACCATTGTGGGAGCAGAGGCCAGCAAGTTGAACTTGTAGAGATTGTTCCTCTCTATTGAGCAGTGGACCGGGGATTGTGAAGGGACATAGTGGTGAGTGAGCATAGCGAGATGGGCATGATGAGGATCATGCTGTAAGGACAGAATAGAATGTATATCTTAGCAGGTGGTAGGTCGCTAAGTATGGATGTACAATACCTGGAAGGACAGAATAGAATGTATCTACTGTGAGTCAGTAAGGTAAGGTAATGAATAAATGTAACGTACTCACATCTTAGCAGGTGGTAGGTTGCTAAGATGTGTGGCTGTGAAAAAAGCGAAAATTGACTGTATCGGTAACTAATTAAGAGTCCGTACGACTGTATCTGCAGTCATAGCTCATACTCTCAACACTCCCCCTCAAGCTTGACTGCTAGATCTCTGTTAGGCCCAACAACACATGAAATTTGGCCAACTTGACATGAGGTAGCGACTTCATGAAGATATCGGCAATCATGTCCTCTGTGGGGCAGTACTTGATGTTGGCTTGGCTGAGAGTAACTGTCTGGTGCATGAAATGCAACTGGATGTCGATATGCTTGGTTCTGGCATGGAATGTGGAGTCCTTGGTGAGCCAGATCGTGCTCTGATTGTCTGAGAAGAGGGTAGTAGAATTGATGAGCTGGCAGATCAGTTCTGCAAAGATCTTGTGGACCCATATCAGCTCTTTTGATGAGTGAGTCATTGCCATGTATTCTGATTCAGTGGTTGATACAGTGATGATAGGTTGCTTTTTGGAACTCCAGGAGATGGTGCTGAGTCTGACAAAGAAGGCATAGCCCAAAATCAAGTGCCTGTGCATTTGCGAACCCCAGTCAGCATCTGTATATCCAATTGGAGAGATGTTTTTGCCCCCTAGTATGAGAATGAGGTGGGCTGTGCCCTTCAGGTACTTGAAGATGTGGAGGATGGCATGCCAATGAGTTGTTCTTGGCTCATCCATGTAGCGGGAGAGGGTAGTTATGGCAAATGCAATGTCAGGGCATGTTCCAAGCATCACATACATTAGCTTGCCGATGGCCATGCGGTATTGGGTTTGCTCATGAGGGGATAGAACAGTCTTTGAGACAGAAGGTGAGTCATAGCTGAGGTCAACTCCAGGCTCGAGTGGTGTTGTGACTGATCTGGCATCTTCCAGACTCATGTCCTTGATTATCATGTTGAGATAGCCATGCTGGTCTAGCGTGATGGTCCTTGCAGCCAGGTTACGCTTTATGCCAATTCTGAGTAACCAGCGAAGAGTGCTGAGGTCAGTCATTTTGAAGTGCTCACTTAACTGCTTCTTGACGAGAGTTACAGATCTGTCTGAGTCTGCTATAATGGTAAAATTGTTGGTAGTGGCAACAACAATGGTGTACTTGTCGTCGTCAAATCTGTAGAACACTGCTTCATCTGACTGGCATACTTGATACCCTAGTTGCATGAACACAGCCTTTAGCTTGTTGTACCACTCATTTGTACCCTGGCAGCTCCCATAAAGAGGCTTGAGTAGCCTGCACACCAGCTGTTTGCCCTTTAGGCATTTGGGAATGGTTCAGAATAGATTATACATGGGAGAAAGTTCCATATAGATTGTTTCTTTGAGGTCCACTTGCAGGTAGGCATTTTTGACATCAGCCTGTTGGATCACTGAACTCTTACTGGCCGTGACAGATAGTAGGATGCAAAGAGTTGTGAGTCAGACAGTCGGGGCAAAGGTTTCATGAAAGTCGATGCTGTATATTTGAGAGAAGCCTTTGATGACAAGATGTGCTTTGTAGCATACAATTCTGTTTATATCATCCTTTTTGGCTCGAAAGGTGTATCAGCATTTGGCCACATTTACACTGGGTGACCTGGGAATTATTTCATAAGTTCCCAGCGCTTTGACCTCATCTAGCTCATCTCCTACTGCCTGCTTCCATTCTCTTGCCTTGTCTCCCTTCAATGCTTCCTGTAGACTCTCAGGCTCTCCATGGCTTGTTGCCAGTGGGAACTTGACTAGGCCAGCAAACCACTCTTCCTCTTTGGCATTGAGTTCAGCTTCCAGTTCAGTGCTTCCTTCATCTTTGATGATAAGGGCGTGCTTGGTTGTGGATTGCTTTGACAGTCTGTTGTCATTGTAGAAGCCTTCTGGCTTTCTTCCTGAGCAGCAACCTCTGCTGAGAGGTTCAGGATCCTCTTGATTTTTGGCATCATCTATAATTTGGACATGTCGCTTGTGTGGAGCAGGGCTGGGACTGTCAGGAAGTGGTGTGAGTGGTGATAGTGAGCATTTGCAAGGCATATCTGGCTGAGCTTTGGGTACGTCAGGTTCAGTTGCTTGACTTTTGGGTTTCAGGTTCGGGCTCGAGTTGGGAATGGCTGGATTGAAGTTTGCTACTGTCTCCCCCTCAATCTTGATGATCTCGGGCTCGAGTGTCTCCTCATTGTTGAAATAGACATCTCTTTTGATACTGACTCTTCTTTGTCCAGGCCAGTACACCCAAATACCCTTGGATTCTTCGTCAAAGCCAACAAAACGACCGGCATCTGCTTGTGGTTGAAGCTTGCTTTGCCTGAGCTTCTTTACCCATACTATGCACCCAAACTCATGTAGTTGAGAGAGGTCAGGCTTCTGGTGAGTCACCTTCTCGTGTGGGGTGATATTACCCTCTAACGCACTGTGGGCCATTCTGTTCTTTAGCCATACTTTGTGTGAAACAGCCTCAGCTCATAGATATGGCAGTAATCCTGCTTTGATAAGCATCGCTCAAGCACCTTCAAGATGTGAGCAGTTACCATGCTCTGCCATTCCATTGGATTGAGATGAGTCATGGACAGTCAAATGACATGCCATTCCAGTGAGGTCGAGATGATTTTTGAATTCCTTGCTCACAAACTCTTCCCCTCGGTCTGAACCAAGTATCCATATAGCTTTTGCACCCTGTTGCACCTTTGCCCAGGGTTCGTACTTTTGATAGCATGAGTATGACTCAGACTTCTTCTTCATGAAGTAGACCTTTTCCTCCCATGTTGAGACATCCTGGTAAGTGTTACTATACCTGTGGTCACCAATTGACTCAGTGTCAGCAGGTCCCCAGATATCTGTCATGACTTTGTTGCCATATGCTTTTGCTATCTCATTTCCCAGACTGATCTTCAGGAAGGGCTTTCAGGCGGCTTTAGCTTGAACACATGCCTGGCAGAATCCAACCTTGGTTTCTGGGTCAACCCGAAGACCAAGTGTTGATCCGGATTTTGCCATTGCAATGATGACAGCTTCATTTGGATGGCCCATGAGATTGTGAAACTCTCTCATAGTTACAAGGTGTTTGGCAGATGCAGCAGTGGAGATATTGGGCATGGGTGGAGGTGCTCTGGGGGCAGTTATATGGTACAGGCCTCTGGTCACTGGTATTATGCCGATTGTTTTGCATTTCAGCTGTGGGCTTTGTATGATGCAGTTATCATTCTGAATGGTGAGTGCATAGCTGCTTCAATCTAGACAGCTGACTGAGATGAGTGTGAATGCCATGCTAGGTGAGTAGTAGGTGTTATAGAGGGTAACAGGCATTGGCTTTTGATCTGGTCCCATTGGGAGTTGAGTAGGATAGTCTCCTTTACCTGTGGCACTGAATGTTCAACCATCTGCTGCCTTGATAGGGATTGGCTTGATGGCGGTGAAGTTTTTGAATCACTCATAGTAGTGAGTGAAATGGTTGCTTGCACTG